GAATGAAAAAGATTCCAAACATTTAGTTTGGCATGCATAGGGTAGAAAAAAGATGAGTATTTGTGTCATGTGTTTGATTCTCCGCAATGGAGGCAAATTGACCTGAAATATCCTGAATTCGGCAGAGAGGACAGAAATTTAAGACTTGGTCTATGCACATATGGTATGAACCCATATGGTACACTCAGTAGTCAACACACCACTTGGCCAGTTCTATTGGTAATTTACAATTTGCCCTCATGGTTATGCATGAAACGCAAATATATCATGTTGTCTCTTCTTATCTCGGGACCCAAAAAAAAGGGTAATGATATTGACGTGTATCTTGCACCCTTATTGATGATCTGAAACTGTTGTGGACCGAAGGAGTTACAACATACGACATGCATACCAAATCTTATTTTCAAATGCGTGCTATGTTGTATTGCACTATAAATGATTTTCCCGCATATGGCAACCTTTCAGGTTACACAGTCAAAGGTGCAAAAACATGTCCTATATGTGAAGATGATACATCTGATTTGCGGCTACCTCATTGCAAAAAAAATGTTTATATGAATCATCGAAGGTTTCTTCCGCGCACTCATCGTTATCGTGCATTTAAGAGGGCATTTAACGGAAAAAGTGAGCATGAAGTAGCTCGTCCCCCATTAAGTGGTCATGATGTGTATGATAGGGTGAAAGATGTGAACACAATCTTTGGAAAGCCTTATAAGCGGAACAAACAGAGCCTTTGGAAGAAGAAATCTATATTATGGGAGCTTCCTTATTGGAAAGACCTACCAGCAAGGCACTGTCTTGATCTCATGCACATCGAAAAGAATGTGTGTGACAACATCGTTTCGACTATTTCGAATGTTCCTGGAAAGTCAAAAGACGGCATAAATATTAGAAAAGACATGGTTGAGCATCTGAATATTCGGAAAGAATTAGCACCACAACCACGTGAGAATGAATTTTTTCTTCCACCAGACAGCTATACATTATCAAAGGCCGAGAAAAAAAGTTTCTGTGAGTGCTTACATGGGATAAAGGTGCCATCAGGGTATGCGTCTAATATTAGAAATCTTGTATCTCTAAAAGATATGAAATTGATTGGGTTGAAGTCTCACGACTATCATGTTTTGATGCAACACTTGTTACCTGTTGCTTTAAGAGGTCTTCTACCCGATCATGTTCGGCATGCCATTATGAGGTTTAGTTTCTTCTTTAATTCTATATGCCAGAAAGTAATTCATCTAGAGAAACTTGATGCTTTGCAATCAGAAGTGGTTGTTACATTATGTCAACTTGAGATGTACTTTCCGCCATCATTGTTTGACATTATGGTGCATCTTGTTGTGCACTTAGTCAGAGAGGTAAAGATGTGTGGACCGGTGTTTTTGAGGTACATGTACGGAATGGAGAGACACATGGGGTATTTAAAATCAAAAGTAAAATACCGTTGTCGACCGGAAGGTAGCATCATCAGAGGTTTAATTGATGAAGAAGTCATTGAATTTTGTACGCCATATTTAACTAATGTGGAATCTTTGGGAGTACCAAAGTCTAGACATGATGACAGACTTCAAGGAAATGACACTCTTGGGAAGAAACTAGTAAAGGATGTGGATAATGACTTGTTGGGAAAGGCTCATCTTCTCGTATCGCATCATCTTGAAGTTTTTCATCCTTATTTGTAACAACATATGAATGTCTTAAGATCTCAGTTTCCTTTGAAAAGTGAAATCTGGTTGAGTAAAAAACACAACCGAACCTTTGCATCTTGGTTTAAGGATTTAATTTTCAATGACACTGATAATGTGTACCATGATGTTGATGATGATATTAAGTGGTTGGCATATGGTCCTAAACGACCAATTGATTCTTTTGAAGCATATGATATCAATGGGTTCACTTTTTATACTACCAGGCAAGATGAGAAGTCAGTGTTACAGAATAGTGGTGTGTCTGTGATAGCATCTTCAACTGAGTATGCTAGTGCAAATGATCAAAATCCATTACATGCAAGGTTGTGTTACTATGGAAAAATAGAAGACATTTGGGAGTTAAATTACACTAATCGAGTTTTTGCCATTTTCAAGTGTCAATGGGTTGACATTCGTCGAGGGGTGCAACGTGATGAAACTGGATTCACATTAGTTGATTTTAACCGATTAGGGCATCGTGGTGATCCGTTCATACTTGCATCACAAGCTGAACAAGTGTTTTATGTAAAAGATCCTTCAAATGAACGATTGTCCATTTGTTTACCCGGTAAGAAAAAGATTACATGTAATTTTGAGGATGAGGAAGATGATTATGTTGAGGAAATGCACTCATTATCCATCGGGATGTGTGAAAGAAACATATTATATGATCACAATGAGGATGATCTTCCCTTCATCGCACACCATAATGACGACATTGAAGTGCTTATGGAGAAGGCTAAGTGAGGAATTGTTTAATGTCTACAAGTGTCTTAGTGTAATTACAGTGAAATAATGTCTATTAAAGGAGTAAAGATGCAAAGTTAAATATTTAATATGCTGAATGTATGACAAATAGGTATAATTTAAAAATTATTGGGTTAATATTGCTATACTGGTAAAACAAATTGGTATTGTATGGATTAGATTATACGTCGTATGATATAGGCATGAAATAATTAATGTGATGGTATTGGTATTACTAAATTATTTATTTTCTTTGATTTGTCATTTTTATTTATAGATTCTCGGTTTTTGTTAATTTATTGTTTATGATTTTTGTATAATATATTAGTACAAAAAGAAAGAATAAATTGAGATAACTAGTGAAATTCTTTTTCATGATTTTTTCTTTGGAGGTTCACGTTATATCTGCAATTTGAATATGCTTTTTTCATATAATTTTTTATGATTTGAATATGATTTTTTTTGTCTGGGCCTCCAAAGTCCTAAAGACGCCTCTGGGTGGTGGTGGCGTGACCATGTAGAGCTTTTAAGATGCTGCAGTCTAAATCCAATCAATAGATTTATGCAGGTGAGATGGCCGTGTACTGGGCAGTCCCGACTGGCTCTTAAAACTACACTTTAAAGTTGGTTATAAACTAATTGCAGAGGACTTTTTCTGCATACGTTGTTCCAAAAGGTGAAATTTCCCACCCCAGGAGCTCCCATACCCCGACCCGACATGATTTTTGGGAGGATGTAAGTCACGGTGGCTCAGTCGGCCCAATGATGGTAGGCCTTTTACCCGTGCGCACCAGAGGTCCAGTCCAAAATGCATGAGCTGTAACCTCCACACGGTCGCTGCGGGTTTCGAACCTTGGTCATTGTTCCAAATTTCCTACCACTGAACCAACTGAGCTACTCGTGCGGGTACTTTTTCTGCATACGTGTGTGTATGTATGTATGTATGTATGTATGTATGTATGTATGTATGTATGTATGTATGTATGTATGTATGTATGTATGTATGTATGTATGTATGTATTTTAGTTTTAATTCGAGACCTTAGCGCGGGGGATGGGATCACGAGATGTGTGGATATGAGTAGAGCCATGTTTTAAGGGTATAAATAGGATTAAGGAAATGTGGGTATGTATTTAGTAAAAATGTGTTTGTGAATAAAATTTTGGGATTTTTTCATAAATAGACAAAAAATGAAAGTAATATCACTTTTGTCACTTTACAAAATATTTTTCAAAAATAGGCCAACTGGACCTTTCCTTTGAAAATACTGAACCAACGTTCCGTAATCTGCAATTCAAAGAAGCGCATCACACACTTTTTAAATAAACTACTCCACTAGGCTACTTCTATCACGGACTTTGTTAAATTTATATAAACTCCAAGAATGATTCAGTTCTTGTTTTGAATAAAAAATGTATGTATGTAGTAAACAAGATGAAGATAATTAGAAAATAATAAAAGTATTAAAAATTAGATAATAGTAAAAAATAATAATATAATCAAATCACATAATGCATAATAAAACATCGGGGTTGAAAACTAATAAGCTAGATTAAAAAAAGATATATATTAAAAAAATCAGAGATATGAAACGTAGAAAATTTTGAAGAAAAAAAAACTCAAAAGTAAAAATAAGAAAGATTTAAAATATTTTATAAAGTGGAAAATTTGTAGAAATATATCAATTTATGTAATTTTATCTCTCAGTCGTCATTATATACCCTATAATTTGTACATAAAGCAATCGAAAATATAAATAATTGAAAGTTTTATAAAATTAATCTAAAAAGTCAAATATATAAGTAAAAAATTGAAAAGAAAAATCTCAAAAAAAAAAATGAAATTAAAGTGTATAATATTTGCAATCTTAAAAATAATAAAAAATGGGTTTGAAGATTATAAAATATTTGAAAATATTACAAATTATCATAGGCAATTATAAACTATTATGGAACTGTTATTATTTTAGAAACCGATATACATACAAAGTAAAACAAATATATAAATTTGAAAAAACTTCAAAAATCAAATTGAATGCTATAAAATAAAACGTAAATAAGAAATTGTTTAAAAATTTGAAAAGAGTTAAATTTAATTAAACTAAAAATCATGATAAATTTAAAACTTGAAAAATAAAAATGTATAAAATAAAAATAAATTTAAAATAGAATTTAATGTTGAAAAATTTTAAAATTTTAAAAATATGAAATATTCATTACATAGATTTGTTGTTTGTTTTTGTTGCGTATTATTTATTCTTGTTTCTCTTTGTTGATAACTCGAAATGTTTTGTTTCTTATTGTTTCTTTATGTTTCCTGTAGTTGGTTTATATATAAAACTTCAAATATATCATTTTACCTGATTTAATATGAATCTATATATGATTTTTTTACTTCAAAGAAGTAGCTACGTTAAATAAAAACCTAAATATAAAAAAATCAAGAACAATTCAACAATAAAACAAAAATAAGTAATATAGTGCACCAAATAGCAACACGATGCAACAAAAAACAACAAGATGTAACAAAAAGCAACACATTCAATACAACAAAAAGCAACAAATAAAAAAAAGTATAAAAGTATCACAACAATCATGTAGTTCAATCTAGTATTTCAATGTATTACATATATCCCCCTTTTTCAGACATATGCTGAAAAAGCCTGTAAGCTTCTTCAACTTCACCAACTTCTGTAAACTTCTTGATAAGGATGTTTTATGTCTTTATATTTCCAGGGCAACCATTTGTAAACATTTCATCCCATAGTTGTTTTGAAGTTGCACTAAATCTTCACTACAACAGGCTTGTAGAAGTGAATTGTAAGACAATATGTCAAAATCAAAACCTTTTCTTTTCATCTCACAAAGAAGATCATAAGCTTCCTTTACTTTACCCGCCTCCCACAAGAGTGTGATCATCACTTTATAACTTTGTTGATCTGTAACATGTGCTCTAGCAGACAACTTCTGAAAAAGCTCAACTAACATTTCAACATTTTCGTGCTTGCAAAGGTTCCTACCCATATTGTTCAAAGTAAGAAGGGTGGGAAATACATCTTTGCCAACCATGAAATTGAAGAATAACATAGAGGAATGGGGATCAACAACCGAAACAGATCCAATCAGCACATTGAGTAGATTATCATCCGTGGGGAAATTCCCATCCATGGTTACTTCTCACTACTCTTTTGCTTCTGATATTAGTCTTTCTGAAATCAATCTAAAATGAATTCTTTATAATCATTGGATCTAGGTGCAACTCCCAGCTTCCTTTTTTCTTCAATACCATTTCTACATTGACCACATTTCGGATTCCTCTCAATGCTTTTGAAACAACTCGGTATGCTATAAAATCGGGTTTACAGTCTCTTTTCCTCAACTCATCCAAAGCCACAAACGGACTCTGAGACAAGAGAAGAAGAACACAACCAAATATCTCCATACGTCATACTGGCGATTTCGATGGTCTGCCATTACTTTGAGCTGCCCAAGCTGCCTGCGATGTCATCAAGACTAATCTTTTCAAATTGAAGCTGAGATTATAACTTACAATTCCTAATCCAAAGAAGATTTAAAACTAGAAGACTGCAAATACAATCTTGAGAGGCCATCCTTTATGTCAATCCTTATATTCTGCACCTTTATTGACAATTTTTATGTATGGTCTTCGATATCCTTCAAATTTATGCAGAAACTCGAAGGTCATCCTCTGCAAACTTCTATTAGTTTCCAGATTCTGTAAGGTTTTCTCTATTTGAATACTAAAAATGCATAGCACATTTAAGAGATCAAACTGAAAATTGGTTTCAGAAACTATTGATATTAACATTGTAAAGTAATTTCAAAAACGTTTGAATAGAATCTCCGCCAAATCAAAACCGATCAAAACAAGCTTATATTCAAGCAATCCAACCGTAAAACTTCCTAGGAATTCAATTACTTACTTCAAAGCACTATCAATGGGCGCAAGTTTTAGACAATTTACGGTGGAGAGGAAATTCAAAACTTCTAAATACCTTATGAACTTATTCATTCAAAAATAGGATGAAGAGCTCGATATCGAGGGAAAGGTCTCGCCTCGACGTTGGAGGAAGATACTTTCTCGGACCTGCATTGGAAAGTTCAACTCGGAAACCTGGGCAACCATAATTGTCGTGTTACAAATTCGCAAATCGGCGACTAAGCTACAACAAAACAACGACTGTGCTCAACTCGATTTGCAACTTCATGCCCTGTCCCCTCTGCTCTTCATCGAGAAAGCTCTGGCCGAGATGAAGGAGGTATATACAACATAAGTCTAAAATTGAAATAAGAAAACATAGTTGAAAATACAAAAGATTAAAAATGAAAAGAAATAATAATAATGGAACATAAATAATATGTGAGGCACAAAAGTAGAGTAATTTCCACTAAAATTTTCCATGTAATAAACAAAAACATTTATGCGATTTGTAATTAAATAACATGGGCTGTTAAAAATATAGATGATGGGTGTCAAACATAGACAATCCCGGCCCACCAATCTCTAACGGCTCCTGGCCACACTCCATAGACAACGACCAAAAGAAGATTATAGCCGTTAAATCCCTCCATCCACTGTGGATTTCGCAAGCGCTCCCAACATATTCAGACAGAAGTGAGAAGTAAACCAAACAGAAATTTAGCAACTTTTTTCTCCAAATGGATTCTTGTTATCTGAAGAGGAAAAGACCTCCACAGCTTCAGATCCCTAATGTGCTCGGAGATATTAGGGCAGAAGCTGATCCGACTTCCAAAGCCAGTGCTACCATCACCCAAAACGACGCCGTGAGGTCCAGTGCTAAGGGGGTTGGCGTTTTCTCTGTCAAAGGCCGCAAGAAGTTAATGGAGGATTCTCACAAGATTGTTTCTTTCCCACGTGCCAAAAAGGTCAATTTTCTTGAAATTGTGATGTATTCAATTTTCTATGAATTCGATGTTCTTTTTGCGCAAATTGGGAATGTTTGTTTCTTCAACAATAGTATTAGGGTGCTGATTAACTGTTCAATTTCTTAATTTTAGGGATTTTTTGGGGTGTATGATGGGCATGGTGGGAGCAAAGCTGCTGAATTTGTTACAGAGAATTTGCATTCCAATATTCTGGAAATTTTGAAGACTCGTCATGGTAGTAGTGCCGCCAAAGAAGAAGCCATTAAAGATGGGTATTTGAAAACTGACAGACAGTTCTTGGAAATGGTATCTACAATTGATACTTGTGATACATTGTTATTACATCAAATTTTAGTACTTTATGGCTTCTTGCTTCATTTCTGCTCTGTAAATTTCTAATCCGGACGCTTTAGGGTCAGTCTGAAACCAGAGATAGGAATGCAAGTAGGTAAGGAACACAAAGAATTTGGAAAGAAAGAAAAATTGGAGGGAAAATAAAAAAATTTGGTTCAAATCAATAAAGTAATATATATATGTGTGTGTGTGTGTGTGTGTGTGAGTAATCTTCCGGTCAGGCCTTCCTGACCGGAACCTTCGTTCGGCCGACGGCTTTTGAGGCCCTTCCCGGTGTACTTTTTTTATTAAATTTTTATGGCATGTTATTCATCAAGTCTGATTCATCCATACCAAATTTGAGCAAAAAATTTAATCCGGAAGGTTGTCAAATGATTTTTGAAAGACAACTGCGCCGGAATATACATATAAAACGCAGTTGTCTTTCAAAAATCATTTGACTACCTTTCTGATTGAATTTTTCGCTCAAATTTGTTATGGATAAACTAGACTTGATGATGAAGATGCCATAAAAATTTCATCAAAAAATTCAACGGGGAAGGGCCCCAAAATCCGTCGGCTGGACTGCGATTCTGGTCCGGAATTTCGGACCTGAATATTTCTCTATATATGTGTGTGTTTAAAGTCATTCTGTTTATATGTTTCTCTTATATAAAGAAAACTAAGAAATACTTCGTATAAATATAGCTTAAAAGAGTTACAAGGTTTTTTCAAATATTTTATTTTCCTTGGTATGTTCCAAGTTAAAACTAATCATAAAAATGCTGTTTTCCTATAGTGTAGCCCCCCCCCTGCCATTTTTCATGATTCAAATATGGCCTGAGTTTCACACATTTGCATCTTCTGAGTTATCACGAGCCCATTGTTCTTACAAAGATGAGCCATGATCTTGCTTATTTATTCTTTCATAGGTAACTGCACATAATCTTTCCATCATTTGCAATGGAGCCAAAGATTCATTATTTTTTGGCTTGGAATTATGATGGAATAAAGCAAAATGGCTCACTAAACTGTATGCGCTTCTTTATTATGAAGCAACAGTCAATCCATGCAATTTTGGACGTGATTTTCACTATGGGTCATCCAGAAACAGTCTCTCTGTGCTTTAGTACAGAAGTAAGACTACGTACATCCGACCCCCCTTACCCCACCGTAGGTGGGAGCCTTTGCGGCACTGGGGTAAATGAAAATGAAAGGTAACTGCACATAATATATAAGACCACTCCGATGTTGATATGAAATTCTATGATTATTTATCTTCATAAAACATACGGAGTACCATTTACTTCAGTGGGCATTTTCCTGTTTTCTTCATCTTTCACCAATGTGAACAGCTTCCAGCATGCTCTCATTTTAACATGAAGTCTTACAGGGAATATGTAGTGGTGTCTGTTGTGTGACTGCATTGATTGAAGGAGATGAGATTATAGTTTCCAACTTAGGGGACTGTAGAGCAGTTCTAAGTAGGGGTGGATCAGCCGAAGTCCTTACAAAAGATCATAGAGCTGGACAAGAGGATGAGAAGAAACGAATAGAGGATAAAGTACTTCTCTTTCACTGTAACCCTCTTTCTGATTGAAGCTTCTGTTAGCCTATGTTTGGATTTCAAAAAGTAATGGAAAGGGGGGAAATGCTAGGGGTGTCATTTTCTTTGGTTTGGTTTTGCGACATAAAAAAGAGAAAGGAAAATGAAATGTAAATATATAATTAATGTTTACAAAAATATGTTTAGATTTCTTTGATGGTATTCTTGGATCCAGGAAAATGCAAGGGATAAAAAAGGAAACTAGGGCTAAGGTAATTGTTTTCTAGTGTTTGGTTTTACCTAAGAAAATACAATGGAATAATAAATGGGGTGAGATATGACTATTTTTTTAAAACTTTTTACATGTGTTTAGAGTAAATGTATTGTACTTTCTCCAATGTTTTTCCCCCTTCCATATCCCACATGCTCTTCTCCATGTTTTCTCTAGAAATTTCTGAGTTCAGAAAGGATCCCTAGTCCCAATGTAGTAGAGATGCATAAACAAAACGAGTTTGAATAAATATAAAAAATAGATTCATGAGTTTGGACAAATCTTTCCCAATTTCCCCCTCATATTTTCTTTTGTTCAACTTACAATTGCTAAAATATTTTTCTTTCCCTAGTATTTGATGATCTCCTTAATGACAAAGGAGGGTAATTCATGCTCATTATAGTAGCTTATATGTTATAGGGAGGCTATGTGGAGATTTATGGAGGAGCGTGGAGAGTTCACGGTGTTCTTTCTGTTTCAAGAAGCATCGGAGATTCTCACTTAAAGGACTGGGTAGTGGCTGAGCCTGAAACAAAGAGAATGCCAATTACTTCAGACATGCAATATCTTGTTTTAGCCTCAGATGGACTTTGGGACAAGGTTAGCAGAAATAGATAAATGCTGCACCCTTTACAAGGCAGGCTTGATTATTTAAACCTTAATGGACGCGATTTTCACTATAAGTCATCCGGAAAGAGTCTCTATGTTTATTAGTACAGGGGTAAGACCGCGTAAATCTGACCTCTCTTACCCTACCGTAGGTGGGAGCCTTTGCGGCATTGGGGTAATGGTAATGATGATTGATGTTGGATGGTGGCATCTAAACTTAATGCTATGTTTATTAGGTAGGGAACCAGGAAGCCATAGATGTGGTGATGCAATCATGCCAGAAGGAAACTACACATTCGCAACAACATAATGACGACCTAAAAGAAAATGAATTTGAGTTCAATTGCAAAAGTACAAGCCCCTCACCAAAGTTGAAGAGAGTTTCTATAGTGAAATCAAACAAAGGAAGGGAATGTGAATTTGGAAATGAAAATGAAAGTCCAGCAGCAGTAAAGTCTCTAAGAATTTCGTTGGTTAAATCGAGTATCTGGAAAGAAACAGCAGGCAGCGGTTTTATCCAAGAGAATGGTGGGAGTCCAGTGAAGGCTCAGCGTACTTCAGTGGCGCATTCAAGTATAAGGGTAAGTAGTAGGTCTCCTTGTTCCAGGAGAAGTGATGATAGTTTGAAAGAAAATGAAGAAAACAGCTTTTCTCTTGTAGCTGCTTGTCAAAGACTTGCAAACCTTGCAGTGACAAGGGGTAGTTGGGACGATGTCACTGTGATGATAATTGATCTTGGTCACTTCAAATATTAACCTTAACCATGGACTTCTTTGATGATAATTTTCTTGTGACTTGTAGTTCAGATGTTTCCATTGAAGCAACTCTAACTAATTTTGAAAAGGGGTAATTTGACTTTGCGCCGCGTTTTTAAAAATCTTTGTTTTTGCACCCAACCTCGTATGAAAAGACAAAAATGCCCTTCGATCAGGAATATGTTAAGGCCAACAGAATTGTTAATGTAGGGGCATTTTTGTCTTTTCATACGGGGTTGGGGTGCAAAAATAAAGATTTTCAAAAACGGGATGTAAAGTCCAATTTGAAAAATAAAATGGGTTGCACACTCAAATTACCTCTTTTGAAAAACACACACACATATATATATTAATATACACAAAATATTAGGTTATGTATACACAAAAAAATATACAGAAAATATTAGAACATCGATACATATAAAGTACAAGAGAGTCATGACTCCAGGTTTACACAATAGCGCATAACTCTTGTAAGGATGTTGATGGAGTATATGAGTCTAGACCCCAGGACCCACATATTCAGAAGAACAAGAGGCACCGCTGTCACTCAGTAGGACCTCCGTCGGCCAGATGACCCTCTATCGGCCAGAAAGACATCAATTCAGAACATGATCCAGAAGTCGGGAGAACCAGGTGTCTCCGTCGATCGGGTCTCCATCGTCCATGGCTCTGTCGGCCAGACCTCCGTCGGCTATAGAGAGCTCACAGAGCCGGATTTCATACTTAATCATTTCTACATACTTTGTACTCGGCCCAATAGTGGTCCCATTGTAAATGGACCTCCCAAGCCCAAGACTTGGGAGCACAGCCTACATTTCCTCTATAAATACTCCCCTTGGGAGTAGTTGTAGGGGTTAACAAATTCATTTATTGCAGAACTTATTGTATTTCTCTCTCTAGCTCTCACTTCTCTCTAGAATATATACTCTATCATTTGGTGCTTGCATTGAGAGCTAGAACAATCAAGTTAGCATCCTTCGTCGCTACCAAGCACAAGCTAACTCACGATGGGAAGAGCAAGGTCAAATCACAACCTCATCGGCAAGGCGATCCCTGAGGCTCAGGAGGATCGTGAGCGCTCTGGTGACGCTACGGCTGAGAAGGCAGCGGAAGAGGAAATCTTCCAAGAGACAGTCGACCCCGCAGCTCAACGGCAACGCTCAAGACGCCCGTATCGGCCTTGAGAAGAAACACATGGAGAAAGGAGACCATGCATCGGGGCAACAAACTACTCCCACTGTTGACCCTCAGCTCCAGGCCGCTCTATCAGCCATCATAGCTAGCCTGGCTCAGAACCCCACCGTCCTCAGCGCATTCATGCCTAGGACGGGGGAGAACACTACTCCACCGCCCCAATTGTTAGTCATGAAGATGGGAAACGTCGAAGGGGTTGAAGCCCAGGACACGTCGTCATCCCACTCCCAGCCTGCTTCCCTGCTTCGAGCTGGACCGACCCCAACGCGTGGAAAAGCCTCAGCCTTTAATAGGTTAGGTGACACGCGTCGTCGACCAGCATCGGAGAGGATGGCGGGACAGATTGGTGAACGTGAGCCTGGCTCACCAAGGGAAAGATTCGGGTCCATATCCCGCACAGCGGATCGGCCCCGCCTGGACAAAGGCAAAGGGAAGCTGGCTGAAGGTGACGCACGTCACCAAATCAACACGGCTCACGCAGCTCGCATGCAGACATGACGCGCCACCATGGCCGCCAAGGACCCCCGAGACGAGGTTATCACCCAGCTCGAGCGAAGGCTCGCTCAGATGGAGGCCAAACAACTTGCCGCCACTCCCACGGGCATCTCATCCAGGGATCCCGACTTCAACGCCCTCCTGCACAAGGTCAGCATCCTGGAGAGGGAGTTGGCTGAAGGACGAGGTGACCCCATCGTCCAAATCAGGATGAGGACTCCCTTCACTGCAAGGGTACTCTCGGACCCTATTCCCGAGAAGTACCGAGGCAACCCCATCAAGCCTTATGACAGCCGCACCGACCCCCAGGAGCATTTCAGCCGCTATCAGAATAACATGCTGATGGTGAGTGCGTCGGATGAGTACCTTTGTCGTTGGTTCCTTTCCCCTCTCGAAGGACCGGCGTATGTATGGTTCAACGCGCTCCCCGAAGGAAGCATAGACTCATGGCATGATCTTGCCCAACGCTTCCTCACCCACTTTGTTGGGAGGAAACGTGTAAAGAAGTACTTCACCCATCTCTATCTGGCAAGCAGCAGCACGACGAATCACTCCGCTCTTTCATCGACCGATGGACAAGGGAGACCGATGAAGTCGAAGGGGCTGATGAGCCTCATCACTGACCCGCCGAGGTCATACACGAAGGCGCTCCAGCGAGGAAACTTATATGCTGACGCTGACGAGCTCCACAACCACAAGAAGGGTGGAGGGCACCCCTCCAAAAAGACAAACTCTGCACAGGCTCCGGGCGCACCCTCACCCAGGGACTGAGGTTAGGGAGGACAGAACAAGAAGGATCGCCCATGGCGTCAAAGGATGGAAAGGCCGAAGACCCCCCTCACACACTCGGTCAGCTCCATCCTCGATTATGTCGAGCAGCATGATCTCATTGAGAGGGATCCTCGGTCGGCAAAGGAAATCTACGCCGTACATTAAGGGGGGTACCTACTGCCGTTACCACAAGAACACCTCCCACAACACCGACGATTGCGTCACGCTGAAGAGAGCCATCGAGCAACTGATTCGCCAAGGGGAACTCTCCCAATTTGTTAAAGGTGGCCCACGCAAAAATACGTGGCTAAACACCGGCAAAAATGGGGACGTACCCTCTACGAAGAAGCGTGAGATCGGCAGACTCAGTGACGGCGACGAAGACTTCGAGGAGCCACCTCCGAAGAAGAACCACATCCACCTCATTGTGGGAGTCAACACTGGGGGGACTCAGCCACCTAGAGAAAGAAATAGGCCCAATCCCTTTACATCAGGGAGGTCTCCCACGTTCTTCCCCACAGCCGAAGAAGCAGCAGACAGAGGCGATCACCTTCACCGACAAGGATCTGCCTCCAGGCCCCGCATCACACAGGGACATCCTCGTCATCCGATGTGAGATAGGCGACTCTATCATTCACCGCACTTACATTGATACGGGGAGCTCCGTCAATGTCGTGTACCTTGACACTTTCAAGCAACTGAAGTTGGACAGGGCATTGCTCAAGCCGATCCGGACACCGTTGTCCGGCTTTACCGGGGACGCTATCAACGCCGAGGGCACGATAGTCCTTCCCGTGGAAGTCGGCGACGGCTCCCATCACACCAAAATTGACATGGAGTTCATGGTGGTCAACCTCGATCCTGCTTCCACGTCAGTCAAGCAGAAGCGGCGCTGCCTATCGGCCGAAAGACGGGACTTCGTCAAGGGGGGGGGGGGGGGGGGTCACCATGCTCCTCTCCATCAGCCACATCAAGGAGGTGAAGTACCCAACATGGCTAGCCAACGTTGTTCTCGCCCAGAAGCCGCCGACATTCAGAATGTGCGTTGACTACACTGATCTGAACAAGGCGTGCCCCATGGACCTGTTCCCTCTCCCCAACATTGATCAGTCGGTGAACGAGACGGCGGGCTGCGAGTTGATGTCATTCTTGGATGCCTTCAGGGGGTACCACCAGATCTTCATGCATGAAGATGACGCCGAGAAGACGGCCTTCATGACCCCGGGAGGAATGTTTTGGATGAAGATGTCATTCTTGGATGCCTTCAGGGGGTACCACCAAATCTTCATGCATGAAGATGACGCCGAGAAGACGGCCTTCATGACCCCGGAAGGAATTTTTTGCTACCTCATCATGGCCTTTGGGCTCAAAAATTCAGGCGCCACATACACCAGGATGGTAGCCAAAATCTTCAGAGCAGTCCTCGGCTGGACGATGGAGGCATACGTCGACGATATGATCGTCAAGAGAAAACATGCTACCACCCATGCCGACGACCTCCGAGAAATCTTTGAGATCGTGAAGAAGTTCTAGGTCCACCTCAACACCAAGAAATGCACCTTGGTGTCCAAGGAGGCAAATTCCTTGGCTACGTAGTCAGCCGAAGGGGCATTGAGATATTTTCGGAGAAAGTCCAGGCCATCGTGAACATGGAGCCATCGCGCAATGTCAAGGAAGTACAACGGTTGATGGAACGACTTGCGGCCCTTAACCGTTTCCTCTCCAAATCGGCTGAAAGGTCTCTCCCTTTCTTCCAAATCATGTGCAAGGCAAATAGCTTCAAATGGACGACGGAATGCCATCAAGCATTCGAGACCGAGCTCTCCAAGCCCAAGTCGGGCGAGACACTTTTCCTATGCTCTGGGGGTGAGCACGTCGGCCATCAGCTTCGTGCTCATCCGCGAGGATAAAGGGGTGCAAAAGGCAGTTTTCTACGTCAGCAAGACACTCTGGGAGGCCGAGCTCAGGTACTCCCCTATCGAGAAGACGGTGATGGCCATCGTCCACATAGTGAAGAAGCTAGGGCACTACTTCCATGCCCATGTCGTCCATATCTTGACTCAGCAACCCCTCGGCGCACTGATGCGGAGCCCAACTAGTTCCTCAAGGATGGTGAAGTGGGCAATCTTGCTTAGCTAGTTCCAAATCAAAATCAAGCCAAGGCCATCTATCAAGGGGAAAGCCTTGGCCGGCTTCGTCACTGAGTGTACGGCAAGGGAGACGGCCGTCGCCATACCCGGGGCAGAGCCAGACGAAGCATGGACCCTATTCACTGATGGTTTGTCGACCGCCAAAGCATGTGGAGGCGGCGTCATCCTCATCTACCCTGAAGGATTCAGAGCTTACTACGCCATCCGCTTCAACTTCAGGGTGTCCAACAATGAAGCCGAATATGAGGCTCTCCTCAGCAGTCTCAGACTCGCCGCCGGCCTCAAAGCGCGACATGTCAGAATCAAGTGCAACTCCAAGCTTGTGGTGGGCCAGATCGAGGGCTCATACGAGGCCAAAGAAGGAAGGATGAAGCAGTACAAACAGGCGACTCAGGAGTTGCTCAAGGCATTTGAAACCCATGAGATCACACAGATCCCAAGGGCGGAGAATGTTGAGGCCGACATTCTCTCCAAACTCAGCACGGACACTCCGGAGCACATCTCCAAGATAGCCAAAGTCGAGGAGTTAAGCATGTCCAGTATCCATGCCAACCCGATCATGTGCATATAACAACGCCCGGAGGACTGGATATCCGACATCATGACCTTCATCACTTCGGGAGAATTACCCCACTACGAGGAGAGGGCCAAACTAGCCAAACTCAGGGCCCCAAGTTACACCATTGAGAATGGGAAACTCTACAAAAGATCCTACAATGGCACTCTCCTCCGGTGCCTGCACCAGGATGAGGCCGAAGTAGCCATGGAAGAAGTCCACTGTGGTGTCTGCTCCTCACATCAGGGGCCTTTCAGCATGTCTCAACGTCTCGTCGTCCAAGGCTATTTCTGGCCGACGATGGTGCGGGATTGTGCTAACCTCGTAAAGAAGTGTACCGCATGTCAGGTACTTCAGAAGGCCCCTGGCCGGCCAGCCGTCAATTACGCCCCAGTCAGCACTGCAATACCATTCTCAAGATGGGGGATTGACCTGGTCGGCCCCCTGCCTAGAGCCGCCGGCAACAACCGCTACATCATTGTCGCAGTCGACTACTTCACCAAGTGGGTCGAAGCGGAACCTTTGGCCAGTATCATAGGGACCAGGTGCTAGAAGTTTGTCCATAAGAACATCCTTACCCGTTTCGGCGTTCCCCAGGAGATAGGCACCCAATTCGAGGCCGCACCCTTCCAAGAGCTCCTCTAGGAATGGGGAATTAGGCATTGTTTCTCCTCCGTTGCTTACCCTCAAGGTAACGAGCAAGTCGAGAACGCCAACAG